TTTGCCTTTTGCATTTTGTTGTTTTTTGTTTGTTTGTTTGTTTTTAAAGCAGAGTAACATTAAGCTCCAACATTGAGAATTGGAGTTTAAAGGGCTTTAGTGTTAGGTTATATAAAAACACAAGTCAGAAAGTCTGACTGTTAGCCATCATTTACTAATATGCATTTATTCTGTCCAGAGAAGGACAGTAATGCCACCAGATCCACATACCAGCTGACAGTAGTTTCATCCTTTTCAGTAAGATAGAGCAGAATAACAACATACTTACAGAGAATTATCTGTCACTCACAGTATGAGTAACATTTGTACTGTCCGTGGTTGTGAAAGCAGAGAAGTAAAGAGATAACTGACAATAAATAGCCATTCTTTAGTTTACAAACTGAAATAAGTATTTTCAAGATGCTAGCAGCATCGTGTAGCTTGCCTCAGAGATCTAAGAGTGCTCAAATTTAAGGCCTTCACATTTGTCCATTACAGAATAGAAAACTGAATCACTTGAAATAACCAGCTATCACAATTAATGATATTTTGTAAGACAGAGATCAAAAAGTTGAGAACAGGATCATTATTGACGTTGGGAAAATAAGTCTTCTTATTTCTTGTACAACAATGAATAAAAGCACTACTCCTAGAAAAAAAGCTGTTTTGAAGTGAAATATTGAAGTAGTTATGTTCTCACTGCACAGACATGTTTGTTTACATTAACTGCAAGAAACAGAGTACTAAACTTCATTGTGGCTTTAGGCTTCTGTAAATCAATACTGCAAAATTAAGTTTGTCCCATAATGAACTAGATGTCATTTGGCACTTTGTTTCTTAGAGAATTTGCCAAGCAATGGCATACCTCCAGAGAGTATATCCAAAGCTTCTGATCACAGGTCTGCACCTTGAATCCTACACAGCAGCTGAAGGCATTCCATTTGGGCTCCACATTCCCAGGGTATTCTTACAGCACTGGTATTACTGGGTGATGCTAACTTCTGCTCAGCTGAATCAACCACAGGGGAACCATTAACTCCTTTCCTTGCCACTATAGGAATTGAACATACTTTTATTGCATTTTTGAAGCAATATAAAAATATTAATGAGTACAGCAGAGCAGAACAGAATCAAAAAACTTTCATGCAGAACACTTGGGAGGAACTGAGACTGAGAACAAGGTTGTAATAGTCACCTGCTTCATTTAGAGAGGCCCTAAAGCAAATCAAGTGCTGGACTGCTGTGCCCTGAGGATGGTGTGGATGCTGCCTTGCTGTAAAGCTCATTCTTCCCAATCAGAGTAGCAGTGGATACCATTGTAATTTATAGTGGCTGGCAGACTCCATGGGAAGGAGAAGGGAACACTAAATCTCTGACCTAGACTCTCACATAAACTTACCCTTCCCATTAATTAAGGTACTAGCTCGTAGCTGGCACACCCCCATTTTTTAAGGCTTGAGAGACAAGAAGGATCCTTTTAGACAAGGCCAGCACAGCAGTAGCAAGCTTCACCGCAGCTTTTGAGTAAGCACTTCATCTGTATGTTACACAGCACATTCATCTGGTCAGATAATTTTATGTCAGCAGTAATCTATTACATCACTCCAAAACTAACCATAAGAAAGGGAAAACAACAAAGATTGGAGGGAGGGGGGTAGTTTTGTTTGTTTGGTTTTTTTTAAGCCTTTGTTCTTGAGCACAGGGCTGTTGAAGAATGCTGCGCTGGTCCAGAAAGCTCTGTAAGAACATCTACTGGCCCCATCTGCATTAGCCATAAATTCCAGCTGTCCATAAACAAATTCGCTCCCACAAATAGAATTCATTTTCTTGTCTTTTTTTAAATCTCTGAATAAAAGAAAAAAATCTTTCTGCTTGGCTGCCAAAAATCTGTGAATAGCACAAGCCACTAAGAGCAGCTGTGAACTGAATCTTTCTTTCATCTGTTAAGTACTTTCAAGCCTCCACTTCCTTAAGCATCATTTCAACAGGTTGGCTGGTATAGGTCATTCTTCCTTCCCTGTGGTAGCTTGGCTTTTGCTGTTCTAATGACTGTCTTCCCCCTGAAGGATTTTGCTTTCAGCTGGTCTCTGTGGAGCAATGTGCCAACCAGGAAAGCAGACCATGAGCTCACATTGTTCCATGCACTCAGTGCTCTCTCTGACCAATTGCTACCACCTCCTGCTATGGCAGAGCACGCAGTGGTAATATGTAAATATCAAAAAGAACGGAAAAGTATCTTTCTTGTTATCAGAACTTTAATAATACACTTTGCTGTATTTATAGAAGGTTTGAATATCTCAGACTGTTATCGGCTGAAAACTGTTTCTTTATAGAGTACACTTTTTTCAAACAGCCAAAATAGTCTTCTGGACCAAGCTTCATAGACTGTTAATAGAAATCAATCAAACAGATTTGCAGGTTCAGCTCTATCAAAACCATCCTAAAAGATGCAATTTCTTTTTTCAGAAAAAAACAAACAAACATAAGCTAACCCTTTCCTGCAACTAAAAACTACAGTTACATTCAATCTGAAGACCATCCATAAGAACGGATGGCCAACTGTCATATTTGCCTTCTAGTAAACACAGATTTTATAGAACCTGATCTTCTATTAAAAAAAAAAAAAAAAAAGGACATTTTCCCTTACATTACTCTGAGATATTTAAGTTTGAAAAGGTATTTGTGACAAGCACCAATGGTTTTCTGGAACTAGTGCACAATGCATCAAGCAAAGAATAGCATTTCTATGGCAACTGTCTCATCACATTTCAGAAATGGAAGAACAAGAAGCACTCTGCTTCTATGTTTTCAGTTTCCTTAGTAGTATCTTGTCCTTCCATTCACCTAGAACTTCACAACGAAGGTAGGAGAAGGACACTTCTCAGCTGAGCTCTGTAGAAGTTGTCAAGTGCTGGGCTATTCGCTCTTTTAAAGCTCTACTAAAGCTCTGAACCAACATTGCCACAAGATCAGTGTTGTTTCTGTCTTTGCTACAGCCAGATATAACTTTAAGAGCTTGCCATTTGCCTAGGACATCTGGCTGCCAAGGATAACAAACTGGACACAGCCCACTTTATCTGTGCTGGAAGTGTTTCTAACAAACCCAGTCACAGCAACTTCAGGCAGGCATCTCCACCAACTAAGAGAGGAAAAAGTCTGGTACATACAACTCATACCAGCACAGCAGCTGCCATAGCCCCTGCCCTAATGAAAGCAGTCCAATTGTCCTCTGGCTTTCCAGCCTAACTCAGTTCCTCCCTCCCACACCTCCCCTTCACCCTCAAGGTAGCATTAGTCACATTTCTTCCTACGCTTCAGAGAAGATCCGAGCCAGCTCTGTCATGCCATAAGCAGCTTGCTTACGGCAACCTTGAATCATACCTTTACCCCAAAGAATAGCATAAAGATATTGTTCACATTTGTTCTGTTCTTCTAATTGCTTCACTTCAGCGTGCCTCATGCAGAAAATGAGGTGTGAGACCTGGAGTCAGACAACCATGAAAGACCGAGGAACAGCAATAGCAGTGAGAATGGCCTTTGTGCTGCTGGCCTGCTTATTTGTACCTGCTCACTCAGACTGCTGTTATCTGAATGCAGAGTCAAGCTGCTCAATTTTAAAAATTGAGGAAGAGACAACGTTTATTTTTTAGCAAGCAAGGCAGCTTTTGTATTCCGGAGAGACCTGAAAACCTCTCTTCTGTTTCTTTTTCTTCCTCAAATGGCTACCTTAATGTCCCTTAGATAGAAAAAAAAAAAAAAAAAGCAATTTTTTTTGGTAAGGACTATAACCAGATTCAACTCATTTTGCACCTCAAACTAGATATCACAGAAAAGAGCACCATTCAACCATTTCAGCTTTCAACATCTTTCTTGATAAATGTTTAAACTTTTACTGTGTTAAAGACTGAAATTTATCAGTCACAACCCAAATTTCTTTATGCTTTGTTCAAAACCTAAAATATGTAATTTCATGTGTTAAGGAGCTGTTGCAAATTTTTCACAGAAGAAATAATTTCTGCCTTATTTCATTTTTCTTTTGTTCGAGTTCTGAGTAGTGTCAGCATGCTCAGGCTTAGAAATATTGTACTGGCACGCTCTAAAACTTACCGTGCATCGCAATGGACTTTGCTTCCAACACTTCCTTCCCTCCCCCAACCACACTATGTAGTCAGAAGAGCCCAGAGCAAAACTGTGCTTAGGAGAAACTGATAGTATTTCCTAGGTAAAATTTCTTTCTAGTCCTAATGAGGATGATTTTTCAAGATACAGGGTTAGTTCTTCTATACTGCAAGCAGGATCATGTACATGAAGATGGTATTTTGGTACTAGAGCTTACTCAGCTTGTTACTGAAAAGGTCATTTTAAAATAAGTTATTCCAAACATTTTCATGATACTTAACTGATTGCTAAAAATCAGTTAAGTCTAGCAAATTAATTAAAAGAAAAAAACTTCTTCAAGCCTGTAAAACATACATACTTAATAAATTTATCTCTTCATTTGTACTTAAGGATAACTTGCACCATATATGTACACAAAGTCTTCCCAATAATCTCGCTTTCCCTATCATGTAACATCAGCTATAAGCTTATGCTCATTACATTAATAAGATTACCCATACTTTAATACTTTTCAACAAAAATTAACGTAATCAGTCTGCCTTTCTAAAAACAGTTATATGTATTATAAAAACGCATTAAGCAAATATTTATTGTAGCATTTCTACTGCTTCATGCTGTAGCATTATGTTAATCAGTAACTGTCTTATATAAATGAGTTTTGTAAGATTCAAAATAGAACAAATAAGATAATGGAATAATTGGTATTCTATTAACAAATTAGTGTTAGTACTGCAGAAATCCTTGCTTACTCACCCTCCACTGTAGCATGTCAGACAGGATTTAGGGGCCAGAAGAGTTGAAGATGATAAAGATCCTCTCTGGGCCTTAAATTCATCAGGGTTTCATAGAAAGCGAATACAAGATCGACCCTCTTCTTGTGTAGTTATACATCACCCACTTAATTATTGGCTCACTATGACAGTCAGCTCCAAGATTACAAAAAAAAAAAAAATCTAGACAGTTCAAGGGAGATTCAAACAAGGAACCATTCTCAGGTGCAGCAGGAAGGGGGGAGATGTTTCAAAATATGAAGCTTCCTATGTTTCAGGGTACAAAAGTCCTAGAAATCCCTCACAAACCATTTTTAAACATAGAATAACTGCACAGTCACTACCATAGTTCTCCTTCCTATACACGTCATCACTGCAATGGAGGAGCTTGGAAACATGGTACAGTATTTGAGGGCCTTATTAAGAAGATAAATGTATTCAAGTTATTACTTGAAAAGTGAGAAGTCTTTTGCTTGCCAGGATTATCAAACCTGACAACTTGCAGTAAATTCTATGTGTCTTCTATTAAAACAATACTTCCCAATAGTTTAATAATTACACCTTTAAATCCCAATCTCTAAACCGAAAGAATAAGCCAAAAGTACAGCAATTTGGCAGACAACATTTTGAGATTGTGCAGCTGCATACAAAAAACAGCACTAATGTGATGATGAGAAAGGTGAAAATTAGGTCTTTTCTAAGCAGATGTTTTTTCCAACAATCCCCTTTCCAGTGGGAAAATGGTATTATAATCTTGAATCTGCAAAGAATCTTTAAACCAGTTCAAATGGACAGTTCCTGCTGATAAAGTTTTAAAATATTTCTGCATGAATTAAGTATAAATTTACAGAAACCATTGGCTGATCTAATACATTTTATACTTTTTTAAGAAAACAAGTATAGCTGAAGTGAAAATAGCAAGAAGCCAGTCTAGCTGCATATGACACCAAAAAAAACTTTCTATGATTAATTTAAAAAAAAAAAAAAAAGTAAAGAACAAGCAAATGCTACTTCAAATAAATACAGTACAGATTAAGCAATAAAATCCTATGAAACCTATTGCAAGTACCAGCAAGTTAAATAAGTTAACATGTAAAAAGAGAGGGAAAGGACACAGTGTACAAGCTTCTCATTATTGAGAAGCACCAGCGCCAGGCAGAACTGCCTATTTTAAAATAATGGTCCAAAGGACCTTCTCCAAGATATCCACATGTTTACTTAGGAGGGAGGACACAAAAATTATTTAAAGTAACTCCTAAGAGTATCAGTGTTGGAAAAGCAATATAACCAAATCCACGTTGCGAGGATAACACTGAGCCCAACACATCACAGAATCAGACCTAGCTCACGTCCAGAAGATGTTAATAATAGACTGCTATACATACAGACTCCTATTTTTCCAGTTAATAGACATAAATACAGTGTTTGCGTCTACGTGTACCTCAAAGTTGCAGACAAACACTTCATAGTTAAAGTTTCTGCCACAAAATTATAGAATGGCCTGGGTTGAAAAGCGCCTCAAAGATAACCCAGCTTCAATCTCCCTGCCATGGGCAGGGTTGCCAACCACTAGACCAGGCCACCCAGAGCCACATTTCCCTGGTCTCCCTAGTGATCCCCAATACTCACACATCTGCTGCAGTTTCCTTTGAGGAAGATTTCCAGAGGAAATTAATTAAAATACTGATACTTTTAATTTAGGGTACTTTCTAATTAAGCTACCAATATTTAAAGCTTCCGACTTCTGAGACTCATTGTTCATTGCACAGGAGGAGAAGAGAGTAACAATTCATAGTCTTTGTAGAGACATGTTAAATTAAAAAAATCTAGCAGCTTGCAGTTTCATTTCCTTGAAATTAGAAATGCTTGTGTAGCTTAAAAGAAGTAAATCACTGTACTTTGCTATGTTAGACAGCGGCTCTCAGCACATTCCACTGTCTATGGCATGTTTTAAAAAGGCCCACTCAAGCATATAAATCCTTTGAGATTTTAATTACAGTGATGTAGACTCACTAGAAGTTCTTTAGTTCCATATACTGGGACACTGCATCACATCTAAGGTTTTCATATTCTCACTTATGATAAACTGGTTAATACAAAAAGGATAAAAGCCAAATGGTACTATATACCATTTCCTAATTAGAAGACAGAATTAGATTTTTAACGTCAAAAGGATTACAGGAAAGCACCTAGCTAATAAGCAAAGAGTTAACGTAGACTGAATGAGATGAAGACTTAGATCATTACTGCCTGTCCATTGAGTTCCCCCTTACAAGGATGTAAGGGTATATGGTGAACACCTATGGGATAAATTCCCTAGGAGAAATGGTCCCAACATTAACACTACAAAATTGCCTGTAAGCTTGTTGTGATTAGGTAGGCTTATCATGAGAAACACTCCAGGCATGCCCGGTCGGAGAAGCATTGCAAATGTGATATCCCCATACCTTTTTAGCAGTTCTACAACCTCCTTGGACCACTGTGTAACATTACTGTAGACATGATAAATGTTCTGTTTGGAAAATTCTCTGCTAACTTCTTATTATTAGTGTAGTTTGATCAGGATTCATTTCCTTTAGCCGTAGAGGTCCACGCTGCAGATTCCTATATCTGTATTAAGATTCATAGGCTCCATTTATTACTAGTCAGGAGAAATAAGCACCTTCAGACATGATTCATCTGACCAAAATGAAGCAGTTACTTTAGGATAAGAATAACTGCACCCCAAAGAAGCCCATTTCTCACTGTGTAGGGCAACAATTCTGAGTTAGATAGCTGCATTAAGTAAAATCAACCCTGCCATTTGTATTTTAAAGCAATTTTCCCCCAGCATTCTCTCCCCATTTCAACAACAGAGAACTGAAATTTTACACAATCACAAGGGGAAATTTTGAGTGATAGTATGTTAGAGAATTCACTCTCAGAAGATTTGTTCTAATTTTAAGAGCAGTTCCCGACAGAAGGAAATCACCAATTTGCTCTAATTAATGTGGTTGAACATGTGTACTAAAGTTATCTTCCTCTATTCTCCACCCTCACGTTCAATAACTTGACAGAATACTTCATGCTCTTAGGTGCCTATTTTAATTTGAAACACTCTCTGAATAGCACTTGCAGCTAATTGATTTGCTTTAATTTACTTTCAGCCTGCTATCTAATATTCCAGCTTGGTGTTTTTTAAATTCTGAATGCCTCAGAAGGTCTTTCTGTAAGAAAAGCTTCTCTGAGCTTCTCTAAGGGGTTTTCAAGTCACAGTCCATGGACAAAGACACAATGGGAGGATATGCATCTCCAGTTATGCTAGAGGTGCACAAGGCAGCTCTCATTCCCACTCATTTTCTGACCAAAAATATTTAATCCTTTTGACTAGCAGAAACAAGGAAACACAGTTCTAGTCAGTGCTTCCCCCTTTGAGATTTATAACACGGGTGACTGTTAGGGCTATTTATCTCAAGCTCTGAAATGGTCATTTCCAGACAAGAACATAACGTGGTCAAAGTGGGAGTTAGCTGACTTTCCCAGTTCCAAATCCATCCTACAAACACAAACCTAAATAATAATTAATAATAAATGATATATTTCATCCAGTCACTCAAGCAAGGTATCACTATATTAGAATAAAAGTTAAACAGACATTTCTCCTGTACCAAAAGCTTAAGCATAGGGATAGGCTTCTCTGACAAGGGGAATAAGCAAATAAATAAAAAGCCAGATTCCGGTTACTTTAATCCTCCACCCACCCTCTACCAAAATAGACAGGCTTACTAAGTGTCAAATACAGAGATAGACCTCATCCTTAGAAAGGAAGCCACCAATGTTAACAGTGAGCCTACCAACTACTTTTGCTTCACACGCATAGCTTGCTTGCTGAGACACTATATGCAATAAGAACAGCATCAGATCCCTTCAGGGCTCACCTGCAAACATCTGGCATGGATAACCTTCCCAGAACAACACTGATGGGGGTCTCTTCTCATAGAGGACAACACTCTCAGACACACACTTTGATTTCTGGGAGGTAGTTTCTGGAATCAGGAGCTTGACTTGATGATCCCTGTGGGTCCAGACTAGAATATTCTATGATTCTACATCTACATAGCCATCTCAAATGGACAAAGGACAGATTTCCTAGCAAAGTGCAGGTGTAACACAACGGAAAGCACAAGACAGCAAAGCAGCAAGGTCCCAAACCACAGCAAGTGAGGACCTACTTAGACATTGCAGCAGTAGGCATAGAATTAAGAAAAAGAAACTGTTTACCTTCAGAAGACCTATGAAGCCCTCAGGTAGTCAGGAATCTACAGGTGACCTCCTCTCCACTACCAACCCATAAATGAGATCTGGGAAGCTGGATCCTGGCTCCATCCCTTCCTGCCACTCAGCTGCATTGCTTGCACCTGAGCTCCCCTGGGTTGGCCCCGCCTTCCCACAAGATGCTCAGTCAATACTTCAAGCTGTGACTTAGTATTTCCACTACAACAGGTTAACTTGACAAAGAGGAAAATTTGATCCTTTGAAGAAGATTTTTTTCAGCCACACATTTGTTTCTGGAAAATTGGTTTTCTTAGTAAAGATGATAAGACTTAGAAAGAACTCTTACAAAAAAGTATCCTTCATGGGTACATCCTTGGGTTATGTCTTTTTATGAAAAAGACTTCCAACCCATATCTCTGCACCAAGAACCTTCTTCTATCTTTTTACTATTAAAGAACTCAAGTAGTGCTTTCTCAAAAAAAATGTCTTACTTACTTTTCTTGGAGAAAAATTGACAGTTGTTGACCAGCTGAATAGTTTTTAATGAAGATACTCTGTTCTTATGATCTATTAGAAACTAAGAAAATTATCACAGCCTTATTCAAGGCATGATGAATATTTTCACTTGTCGTATCTGAATTTTTATTCTTAGTAGCTTAAGGCACTTAAACTTAGATGGCCCTTCCTCAGAGGAGACATCTTTTGGCAGGATGATTGGAATGCATCAAGTTCATCATTTCATTTCAATGTACCCTGTGCATCCAAAGTTCCTAAGTACTGGTGCTTTAGGAAAGCAGACATTTTCTAGCTGTCTGAACAAATGGCGGGGCAGAAAAGTGCTTACCCCTCAACCCTAGCTTACACATTCAAAAAAATCACTTATATAGATCCATCTACAGTTCCATATCTGAGTGAAATCATAAACTCCAAGATGACAAACAGTGTGCCCCGGTGGCCAAGGAGGCCAATGGCATCCTGGCTTGTATCAGGAATGGTGTGGTGAACAGGACTAGGGAAGTCATCCTGCCCCTGTACTTCGCATTGGTGAGGCCTCACCTCGAGAACTGTGTTCAGTTTTGGATACCTCAGTACACAAAGGACATTGAAATGCTGGAGCAGGTCCAAAGAAGGGCAACAAGGCTTGTGAAGGGCTTGGAGAATGTGCCCTATGAGGAGAGACTGAAGGAGCTGGGGCTGTTTAGTCTGGGGAAAAGGAGGCTGAGGAGAGAACTTATGTTCTCTTTAAATACCTGAAAGGTGACTGCAGCAAGAACAGGGTTGGTCTCTTCTCACTGGTAACAGGATGAGGGGATATGTCCTCAAGTTATGAAAGGGTAAGTTTAATTTGGATAACAGGAAAAACTTCTTTATAGAAAGGGTTGTTAAGCACTGGAATAGGATTCCAGGGAGGTGGTTGAGTCACCATCCCTGGATGTGTTTAAAAACCCTTTGGATGTGGTGCTCAGAGACATGATTTAGCAGAGGGTTGTTAGAGTTAGGTCAGTATGGTTAGGTTGTAGTTGGACTTGATGATCTTTAAGGTCTTCTTCAACCTGAGCATTTCTACTATTCTATGATGAAAAACAGTAAGTTCTTATTATCATTCTGAATGGTAAATTCCTTATCTTTAAGGGTTTTTCAGTAACCTTAATGCCCATTACTCTTTCATTCAGTTCTACAGGTTTAATATCACAGAGTATTCCCCCTTACATTCATAGGGCAAGCATTGTGTTTTTTCCATTAAAAGAAGTCCTCAAGAAATCCAAATAAGAGCTAACAGGGTCACCTGTAACATTTCAGCACATTTAGGCTGGGCTTCTACCTTGTGCTTCAGAAACACTGTGGGGAAAAAAAAAGAGGGGAAAAAAAAAGCCAAAACCTTTCTACCTGGGAAATGCATCAGGAATGATTTACTGCTGAGCTTTCTGCTGCAGAATTAATGGACAGTGCTCATCGCTCAGACTCCTTGAAGGCTGTACATCAATTGGCAACAGTGAGTCAGTTACATTTCCTGTGCCTATTGGTATGGATGGGGATAGAAAGCCAGATGGGAGCATTTGGTCAAATTGCATAGAAAGACACCCTAAAAACTGTATGAAACAGAATTTTGAGGTCTTGTCTCGCCCATACAGACAGAGGGACCCAGAACTAAAAATGTAGCAGTAGAGAAAAAAACAACTACTTAGTTTACCTAGAGCAAACATTTTGTACACTGCTGTTGAATTAAAGCAAAAGACAAAAAACTTGGCTTTAACTTCAGCAGCTTCTGGCAGGGGGTTGGGAGGGTGAAATTTCAGCTTCTTAACTGCTAGTATTATAAAAAATCTGAAAAGTTACTTTAAAAAAATAATAATCCAAAATATCATGTGCTACTGATAATCCAGATGATCAAATGCATAGGAAATCTGGATAATTGAACATGTGTACATGTATGATTTTTCTATTGCCACTCACTATTATTACTACCATAATTCTATGCACTGAAGGAAGGTCTACACCCCTTGTATAGAAAAGGTTCATTTCATTAACATCATATACAAAAGTGGGAAAATTGCAGTAGAGCCTAGAGAAACAGAGGTATCATTAAGACTGAATATACAATCAAACAGAAGTATAGCTCCTGACACAGTGTTTGCAATACAGCAGATGAGGGAAATGCTATTAAATGACAGTTCTGCTAAATCTCTACAATTTGAGATACTTAAGTGTAACTTATTTCCCAAGAGCAAGGTTGATAGTCCATTGCTCTAAATAATTAACCAACACTAAATGTCCTTTAAAAATATGCAGGAGGTCAATTGGGTGTTGAAAGTCTCTCAAGAAATTGGTGGATGAGGTTCTTTATCCTGTTTCATGGAGTCTGAGACACTTTTATGAGCTTTATTCTGGTCATAAACAGAGCTTTAGGAGAAATAAGCAGTTGATTCTATGCCTTTCGGCTGAAGTTAATAAATATAGGCAGTCTTGGTTGTCTTTTCAAAAAACTCGCCTATATATGACTACAGCAATAGCACTAGAAGCTTCTTTACAGGTGGTAAAGCAGAACTTTTAAGCCACACAAAACTAGGTCCAGGAGGAGGTATTTGGATTCCTCAGGCCCTACCAACCGAATCATTAATTCTCTAGTGTCTGGAGCATACATATAGGAATATAAATATCACAATTGAAGAGGACACAGGATCTGAATGTGTCTTTAATGTTATGATCAAACGGTCTTAAAAGGCAGTAGACTCTTAAATGAAAAGCAAATTCTTGAAACAGCAAGAATGGCACGGACTGACATTTTTACTACAGTCAGAAGTTCCTATGCTCATCGGTCTCTTTTTTTGATAGATGAATGATCCAAATATTGCTTCTCCCAGGAGCCCCAAGCAACATTTGTGACAACCTTAAAGGCAGTTACTTTTAAGTCTATCTGCTCAGATACTACACATCAAAATGCTTAATAGAACAGCTTAAGCTTTTCAAAGGAAATTGCCTCTTATGTAAAAACAGTGAAAGGTGTGTCACAGAACTGCTTTTAAATCACAAGTGCAGCAATCATGATCCACGGTAAGTCGAGAATATTAAAAAGATGTATTCCTGTATGCAAGTCATCATAATTTTTACTACTATTTTTAGTATGAATCTGCAATGCAGCCAATACATGCAGATGAAGAAGCCTGAAAAAAAATAATTGCTATTATTATTCTTACACGGTGAAAGTGAAACATTTAGTTGCAGTCAAAAAAACTAATGCTTCAGTTCCAGACTGGAAAATAGCTGTCGTGCTATGGAATTGAGCAAATAACAAGGCCCCTGCCACCGTTTTCCTAAATAGATATCTCTTCTCAACAGTTACAACACAGATTTTGTTACCACAATACATTCAGGGACACAGCTGAGCTTCCTTCTACGGCATACTTCTTACCCACACAAAAATTCAAGAGAGCACGCTCTCAGTAGATGAATAAAAGGTCACAAGTACCTCTTCCCTGCTCTTACATGTCAGCAAAAGGAAAATCTCCAAGACATCAACCCCTTGTATTTTGAAGGCTGGTCAATACTCTTCTCCTAGATATTCTGCAATAACTGTCATAGCAGCAAAAGATATCTAATGACATTTTGCTGGGGGGAAAAAAAAAGCGAACAGCATTGCACTATTAAGAAACAACCAGTTATTTCCTGAACAGCTATTAAGGCTAACAGACCCTAACTCTTGGCTTAGCACGTGTTCAGCCAGGCAGGGAAAAACATGTCTGATACTGTCCATGGCACAGGGCAAGAAGCCTCAGCTGGAATGCATTTATTTTACTGGCTGGAAGCAAATCTCTGGGGAAGAAGAGCTTAGGAACATTTAACTAATTCTCAAAATGCCTGCTATATCTGAGGAACAAAGTCTGTTTGCCAATGACAGATTTAGCTGTCCCACCAGGAGGAGACAAGAGGAGAAAACAGAAGGATAACTTGCTTCCTCAATGCAGTGCTGTTAATAGCAATCCCCTGAAGCTCCAGCTATTCACCTCAGGTTTGTCACAGAGAGCAAAACTTGCAATAGTAACTCATCTTTTCAAGGTTATCTAAAGCAATGTGTAAGCTTTTGTCTGTGCTAACATCTTTAAACTCTGAGCATCCTTCTGAGGATCATTAAAGACATTCCACACCACAACAGCTGAGAAACCTCTCATGAAATTAAATGGCTCCAATTGAACTGGCCCACAGTCAAATCAGAGACAGAACAACTGCAGTCTGTAACAAGTCATTTGAACAAGATACTTCTCAGCCTAAGCATATTTTATTCCTTACTTCAATACATCAATTCAAGGGCCATTAGAAAGCTGAAAGCCGAAAGTTTTCAGTATAGCTGTGAAGCACAAGTTTGGTGCGTTCTTTTTACATATAGAGAAAATTAAGTCATTTGTCCCAGATCTCCTGGCCTTTTTGCAACCCTGAAGTAACAGAAGGGATCCTGTGTGACACTGCCCTGCCCCAACACCTAACTGGGAACTTTCTAAAACAGTTTTGGCACAGATATCAACTTATAATTAAATAAGTCTCCAGCATTTAACCCAACCTACCCAATCTACTTCTAAAGCCTAAAGAGG